TCTCTCCACAGGAGCTGCGCGAGTGGTACGCTCGCCGCTGGAGGCGTGCTGCTGAGTCTGGAGGTGCTGCTGGAGCTGGTGCTGGAGCTTCTTCGACCGTCGAGGGTGCGGGTGCTGCCGGTCCCGGAGCTGCTGGACCTGCGGGTCCTCCTGGAGCTGGAGGTACTGAGGGCGTTGGTGCTGAGCCTACTGCTGTTGGTCCTGCCGCTGGAGGTGTGGGTGGCGCTGGTGCTGTCGCTGAGGGTGCTGGTGCTGTCCCTGCTGAGTCTGGAGCTGCCGCGCGGCCTCGGCCGTACTTCGTTCCGCTCCTACAGCAGGTTCTTGGTCTTTCTCCTTCGGTAGAGTGTCCACAGCCTGTCCAGTCGCAGTCACTGTTGGAGCCTTCCTCTCCTCTGCCTGCTCCCTCTCCTTACACTGGTCCTACTGGAGGTCTTGCTGAGCGTCGTGAGCCTGCGTCTCGTCCCGCGTCGCCTGTTCGTGCTGCTCGCGCTAGTGGTCGCGGTTCGCGTCAGCGTCCTCCTCCTGTCCCTGGCACGCACCGGATGTCTCTGCGTCCGTCCACTGCTCCTCTGCGTGCCCCTTTGCCTTCGCCTCCTGAGTCCTCTCTTCCTGCGCTTGCCGACCCAGAGTCGGACTCTCTTCGCGCTGCCAGTCCTACTGTCACGCGTCTGCTTGCTACTGTCGTCACTGACCCCTCTTTTGAGTCCACTGCTGCGTCTGCTCTAGTCGCTGAGCTCGTTGACTTTGCTGCTCGCTGTCGTCTCGACTACGCTGCTGGTCTTGTTGTTGAGTCTGCGTCTGTCTGTCCTCCGTCCGTCGGGGGTGAGTGTGCTCTTGGCACGGACGTCCTAGAGGACAGACAGGAGGAGTTACAGTGTCTAGCGGCTGCTTCACCTCATCTCGCGTCTGTACTGCTTGCCCCTGAGGGAGACCCGGATGCACTAGACATCCCGACTCCGCGTTCTTACGCGGAGGCCGTAGAGGGTCCCTACTCCTCTCAGTGGCAGGCAGCTATGGATGCAGAGATGGCTTCCTGGAAGTCCACAGGCACCTACGTTGACGCAGTTCCCCCTCCTGGGGCGAACATCGTCAGTGGCATGTGGATCTTCCGGGTGAAGCGGCCGCCGGGCTCTCCACCTGTCTTCAAGGCGCGGTACGTTGCTCGTGGCTTCAGTCAGCGGCAGGGAGTTGACTACTTTCAGACCTTCTCTCCCACCCCGAAGATGACCACTCTTCGGGTGCTGCTGCACATAGCCGCTCAGCGCGACTACGAGCTTCACTCTCTCGACTTCAGCACTGCGTTCCTGCAGGGTAGCCTGCACGAGGAGATCTGGCTGCGCCGTCCACCTGGCTTCACTGGGACTTTCCCTCCTGGCACCCAGTGGAGCCTCCGACGGCCAGTCTACGGTCTCCGCCAGGCACCGCGTGAGTGGCACGACACACTGAGGACTACGCTTGCGGTTCTTGGGTTTGCTCCTTCTACTGCTGACCCGTCGCTGTTTCTGCGCACCGACACTTCACTGCCGCCGTTCTACATCCTCGTGTACGTCGACGACTTGGTCTTTGCCACAGCGGACACTGCTGGACTCGCCTACGTGAAGTCCGAACTGCTGAAGAGACACACGTGCACAGACCTGGGTGAACTGCGCAGCTACCTTGGCTTGCAGATCACTCGGGACAGAGCACGCCGCACCATTACCTTGACTCAGTCACACATGGTGCAGCAGGTCCTTCAGCGCTTCGGCTTCACGTACTCCTCGCCTCAGGCCACTCCTCTGCCTACTCGCCACTCACTCTCAGCTCTGCCTTCGGATGAGTCCGTAGAGTCGAGTGGTCCGTATGCAGAGCTTGTTGGCTGCCTCATGTACCTGATGACCTGCACACGACCTGACCTTGCATATCCTCTGAGCATTCTTGCACGCTATGTTGCTCCTGGGAGACACAGACCAGAGCACATGGCTGCAGCGAAGAGGGTATTGCGCTACCTGTGCAGTACGTCGGGCATGGGGCTTGTGCTTGGAGGGCGGAGTCCAGTGGTCCTTACCGGCCACGCGGACGCTTCTTGGGCTGACGACCAGACTACGCAGCGGTCGTCACAGGGTTACACCTTCAGCCTTGGTTCCGGCTCTGTCTCGTGGCGGTCTACTCGCTCGTCTTCGGTTCTCGGCTCCAGTTGTGAGGCTGAGATCTACGCCGGGGCCATGGCTGCACAGGAGCTTCGCTGGCTCACCTACCTGCTGACTGACCTTGGAGAGCCGCCTCGTTCTCCTCCAGTGCTGTACGTAGACAACAAGGCCATGCTGGCCTTGTGTCGAGAGCAGCGCTTGGAGCACAGAACGAAGCACATTGCTCTCCGCTACTTTCTTGCTCGTGAGCTGCAGCAGCGTGGCCAGTTGCGACTTGCGTACGTGGCCTCTGAGGCCAACACTGCTGATGTGTTCACCAAGGCACTCGCGCCTTGTGACCATCAGCGCTTTTGCACCCAGCTGGGTCTTGTGCCTGTCTTGCCTCACTTGCTCTCCTCTTGACTTCACTTGTTTTGTGACATATATATATACCTGCTCTTGCTTGTCTAGTTTTATATATATGTCTGTACTCCTGCATGTGAACTGGCCTCTGGCCCTGCTCTTGTGCTCGGACTGTGTGGTGACTTTGTGATCCACCCTGAGCTTGCTTTGCTTTGCTTGACTGGTCTTGTGACCCCTTGTTCTCCCCCACTTTGCCTATGGGGGTGTGTCAAACATTATATATGTTATGCTTGTATAGGCTACAGTGGGTTAGCCTATAGGGGGTACACAATTCTAGGGTTTCCTACTTGTACTCATTTCACTGCTAGTTTCATTCATTCCTGTTCGCTTATTCTCACAGCGTGCTGTTGTCGAGTTGTTCTTCCGGTGAGTAATATGGTGGTGACTCAGTTACGCAAGAGTCGCTTAATCTTGCCATGCAGCTGATGATGTTTCTTGTTTCTTTCGCAGATTGTCCCGTTGATGTTGTTGAGACTTGTACTGACGTTGTCGGACTTGCTTGCGTTGAGGCGACTTGACTGCTTGAAGGGCGAAGTTGGCGTTGCGGCGGCGTTGACTGTTGTCGATTCGGGCAGTGCGTACGAGGATGCCCTGAAGTCTTGCAGATGTGGCAAAACGGAGGTACGATTTTCGGTCGACTGTTGTTGTTGTTGTGGCGTCGTTGAGTGTGGAACGCGAATTCGGGTACTGATACCTTTCTCTTGTGTCGTTCTTCTTGCAGGTCCATGTCTTGCTGCTCAGCATGGATTTCGGCGCAGAGTGCTGCTTCGGAGATTCTCCCGTGTGCTCGTAGTATGGCGCGAGTGGAGCGCCAGTGAGGGCCAAGACCGCCGATGACAACCGTGACGAAGGCGTCTTCTGAAATCGATCCTCCACATCGAAGAAGCTTGTCGCGCAGCTCGCGGAAGCGACTGATATACGCCATTCCCTTCTCGCCTGGTTTCATTTCGATTGTTGTCATCTGCGCCATTAACCGACTTTGGTTTACGCTGTCTGTTGCTTGATACAGGTTCTTCAAGTGGTTGTACGCGAGCTCCGCGGAGTTGCCATATCCTCGGTAAGTCCTTATGTTCTGCTGTTGAGTCGAAGTGATGTTCCTCAGTAGTATTGTGTACGCCATCATCGATTGATAGGTGTACTGCTGCTTCTCATACTGTGTGCCGTTTGTTGGGTATGGCAGGGACCCGTCGAAGAAGCCAAGGATCTGCGCTCCTTCCATCATCAGCTCGAATTCAAACGACCAGGTAAAGAAGTCCTTCCCGTCGAAGGGTTTTGTCGTTTGCAGTTTTAGAACGTGCGCGAACTGCGACTGAACTTGTAGTGCGTCCAGCGCTCTTTCTTGTCCCGGTGCAGGTTGTGGTTGTGGCATGAAGCTGACGGAGCCGCGCTGGGGCTCGTACGGAGCGAAGGTAGGTTGTTGTTGTTGATTCCCGCGTGCGTAGGATGAGCCATCGAGACTCATGGGCGTCACGTTGTTGTTATTGTTGCTGTTGTTTGATTGCGCAGGTACTCCTTGCTGGTGCTGCTCGTAGAAGGACATGAAGGAGAAGAATTTCTCCATCATGCTTGGATCGAAGCCCGCGCCTTGGTTTGCGGGTGTTTCAGTAGACCCAGCGGCCGGTCTCGTTGTTGTGCCTTCTTCTGTCTGTAGACCAGATGCAGGAGGTGGAGTAGGAGTAGTACCAGGAGAGCCGTTGGAGGAGCTTCTTTCCTTCCTGGTAGACATGTCTCTTGGTGTAATTGAAGAAGTGATAGAATTTTACCCTAGCCTGCTCTCATACCATGTTGGGCTGAGTGCCCCTTAGGATCTTTGGTAGGGTTAATCTCTGGGTAGAGTGATGTAGTAGCGGAAGCGTTAACAAAGAGATTCTGAACCACCTTGCGCTAGTATGTGAGGGCAAAGTAAGTTAATTAAAGCAAACAAGTACAAAGGCTTATATAAGAGTACAAGGAATACGAAGGGATATGAGTGATAACTGTCTTACTGTTGGCTGTTGCGGTTCGATACAGTGCGACTCGGGCAACTGCTCAGTATCGAGTCAGTTGTGTGTCCTTGCTGTCGTGCTGCCTTTGTCAGGTCAAAGGTCGCTGACCTTTGACTTTCACGTAACCTCCAGCGGTTACTTCAACCTCCGAGGGTTGACTCGCTGGTGCCTCGATATGATCTGCTTCGCTTGTGCCTTGGTGTTTCGACACGATAGAAGCGTTTTTAGGATCGATCGTTTCCAACAAGACCAAACGAAATTTTTTATAGCAAGAGCCCTGTGCCATACCATCTATTTCATCATTGTATATAAGGCTCCCCACCCCATCACCACCACACAGAGCTCCAGTACCGTACTACCAGCAGTACATGCAGCAAGAAGCAGTAATGTCCTCAAAGTCCAATTCATATGGTAATAATCATGACTGTTTTCCTCTCCCCAGCAAAAGGTTGCCATATCGTGCACCAGCCTGCAAAAACTTGCACCCCTAGCCACCCTTCTCCTCACTCCCGTCCCTATCGCCTCCCTCCTCGGTCTTGCTCGACGCTCCACCCCCTTGCCTCTCCTTCCCACACTCCCCTCCAACACTGTGTGTGTCTGGAGGTGACCCAGCAACCCCCCCGGGCCCCACGTCACCACCAGTTCTTCCCTCTCCTCCCACCCCCCTTGCACCGGCTTCTTGCTCACCCGCTCTTCCGCTTGACAGCCCCTCCCCTTCCGACGCACTTGAATCCTCTGCCTCCCCACCCGCTGCACCCTGCTGTGACGCTGCTCCTCGTGCTGCTGCTGCTGCTGCTGCTACTGGTGCAGATGATTCAGTGACTATAGCAGTCGGTGCCGTGGCTGCTGCAACAGCAGCAATAACCCCAAGCTGCTTTTCACAACCACCTTCATCACCAGCATTGCCATCAGCGCCTGCATCGGCATCAGCAGCAGCAGCATCACCTCCAGGGGTGGCATGATCTGCAACTTCCCCACCTGCCCTCGCTTCTGCCCCTGCTGCTTCCCCTCCTCCACCCCCCCCTGCTGCTCTCCCCACCCCCTCCCCACATGCCGCACCTGCCCCTGACCCCTGCCCCTCCCTCTCCCCACCTCCACCCCCCTCTGCACACGCCCCTGCCCCTACAGCACACCCCATGCTCCTACCCTCAAGCCCATGCCCATCCCCATCGCCGTCCCCCCCACCGCCTCCTCTGTCACCTTGCTGCGTTGCCTCTGCACCTTGCCCCCCTCCCCCTGCTCCCCTTCCCACTGCTCCCTCTCCCACCATCCCTCCCGGCACAGCAGTGCCTCCTGGCCTATCCGCTGATCCCTCTACACCTGACCTGCCACCCTCGCCGTCGCACCCCACATGCCCCGCCGCACTCGTGGCACCATCAGCACCACCACTGTTTCCACTGTCTTCCTTTCTTCCGCTTCTAGTACCCCCACCTTCCATCCCGCTCCCTCCCACTTGCCTCTCACCTCCCTCCCTCCCCTCCGCCCCTTTCTCCTCCCCCTGCACCCCTCTCTTCTCCCCACCACTGCTACTCGCCCCTCTCCCTTCTCCTCCCCACTCCCTCTCCTCCCTTATCCGGCCTCGCTCATCTCCCCCCATCCCCCTCCCTTCCCCTCCCCTCCCACTCCCGTCCACCCCCCTCCCTCTCCCCTCCCCTCTCCCTCTCCCCTCCACCCCTCTCCCTCTCCCCCTCCCAACCCCACCTCTCCCTCGCCCCTCCCCTCGCCCCCTCCCATCCCCTCTCCCTCTCCCCTCCCCTCTCCCCCGCCCCTCCCCCCTCCCGCGCCCCCTGTCCTTCCCCACGCGCCCATCCGCGCCAACAGGGGGAATGTGTCCGCCAGAGGTGAGCCAGAGGCGCCAGGGGCCCTCTTCCCCGGGCTGCAGGTTGGTGAGCCCGGGAGGGCGCGAGATGTAGCTCAAACCCACCAATAGCTCCACCAGACACACCTCAAACCGGTCCTTGTCCGCATAGTACAGCGTCTGGGGGGGTGAAGGGGGGGAAAGGTGGGGGGGGGGGGGCGCGGGGGGAAGCGGGGGGAAGGGGAGGGGGAGAGTGGGCGGGAGTATACATGTGATGAGCCTGTGTTGCAGCTCAACCAACAGCTCCACCAGACACACCTCGAACTGGCCCTTGTACGCGTAGCACAGCGTCTGGGGGAAGAGAGAACTGGGGGGAAGAAGTGGGGAAGGAAGCGGGAAGGAAGGCGCGTGGGAGGGGAGGAGGGGAGGGGGAGAAGTGGGGGGATTTGTAAGTGATGCGCGTCAATCGGAATAGCCGCCCCACGGGACACTCCAGACACACCCAGACGCACCTCTAACCACTCCATGTTCCCATGTTCCCATGGCGTGCACTATCGGCAACAGTCATCCCAGCATGATGCACTCACGCCTCCAACAACCCCAAACCCAAGCAACCTCAACCCCCCCACTGCAACCACTCCCACCCTCCCACTCCTCCACGCCCCTCCCCCACCCCCCCGTGTCTCCCCATGAACCCCACCTGCACTTGCAGCGTGCGGTGGCGTTTACTCAAATGACACCCATAGCTGTGCTCCGTCTGCCACGTGATGGTGGAGTGCGCCATGGGCAGCAGCCACCCCAGCATGTACTCTAACGTGCGCCGGATCTCCGCCGCTGCCTCGATGTCAAAGGGGCGCGTGCGCTGGTTCAGCCGCACGCGCAGCTGGTGCTTCACGTTGCCGGGTAACCGCCGGTATAGGTCGTCCCTGGGGGAGGGAGGGGGGAGGAGGGGAGGATGTTGAGAGGAGGTAAGGAGGAGGACGGAGGAGAATAGATGAAATTGCTGGTTCAGGCCCACACGCAGCTGGTGCTTCACGTTGCCTGGTAGCCGCCGGTATAGGTCCTCCCTGGGGGAGAATGGGGGAAGATGGCATAAGACCTAGTGGGTACACAGAGGTGCAGGGAAACACGCGCTGGTGGGAATAAATGAACGTGCTGGCTCAGCTGCACGCGCAGCTGGTGCTTCACATTGCCTGGTAACTGCCGGGATTTAGGTCATGCCCGGGGGGGAATGAGGGGAGATGGCATAAGATTTAGTGGATAAACACCCAGCAAGGTGTTGGTATAGAGACAGACACAGACTAAAGATTGATACAGCACAGAAGAGCAGAACCCACACGCCCCCTCCTCACCTCCGCACGCGCAGCAGCGCGGTGGGCTTGTTGATAATCCACTTCAAGAGAAGCTGCATGTGCGCGTAGTGACAGACGGATGCTGTTTCAACCCGCCCTAATTTCACGCCCGCATGCACGCACATGCCCACACCCCAACACCCCCACAGGCCCCCTCACCTCCGCACGCGCAGCAGCGCGGTGGGCTTGTTGACAGTCCACTCCAAGAGCAGCAGCATTTGCGCGTAGTGACGGATGCTCGTGGAGTCGACTTAGTTATCCAGCCCAAATACCCACTCGCCCACGCACCTCCCCCTCACCTCTGCACGCGCAGCAGCGCAGTGGGCTTGTTGACAATGCGCTCCACGAGCAGCAGCGTGTGCGCGTAGTGCAGTGCGAGGCCCCTCTCCCCCAGCGTGTGCGCCGTGTGCTGCGCGTCCACCTCGGGGGAGCCGAATAGCAGACGCAGGCGGCGCGATAGGATCACCACTGCTGCTGCTAGCAGCTGGGGGGGCAGGGGCACGGGAAGGGGAGGGGAAGGGGAGGGCAGGGGAGGGAAGGGACAGGCAGGGTAGTGGGAGCTTCAAAGGCAGCAGCACAGTTGCACACTGGACGAAAGGGGTGTTGCACTGGCAGCAAGGCTGTGGGGGAGAAGGGAGGGGCAAAGCGAGTTAAACGGCACAGGTCAAGCAGGGGCTACGGCACAAGCAGCGTGATTGTGGTGTGTGTGGAAAGGGAGCAAACAAGAGGGGTTGGTGAGGGAACGAGAACACCCACTAGCAGCAGCAGGGGAGCAGGTGGGGCAGGAGGAGAGGCGGTGGAGTGGAGCATACCAGAACGGACTTGTCAAAGTCTTCACACCATAGTGACTCCTTCTGCAACCGCTCCACTAGCTTCATCTGTGATGGCGTGGTGTGGCATGCATGGCGTGGTGTGGCATGGTGGCATGGTGAGCACATGGAGTTGAAACACCATCACGTGACAACATTCTTCCATTGAGAACTCCCAAACCATTTGAACTTATGTCACGCACACCACCACTCACAACAATTTGGGAGCTCCTGCACTCTCACAAGTCACATACTCTCTCCCCGGTTCACAAGCTCACACCTCTCTTCCACCTCCCTCACTAGGCCCCCCTTCTCACCTCTCCCCACTCTGCTCCACGCTTCCCCCTCCCACCTGCCATGCACCCACCTGCCATGCACCCACCTGCCATGCACCCACCTGCCATGCACCCACCTGCCATGCACCCACCTGCCATGCACCCACCTGCCATGCACCCACCTGCCATGCGCCCACCTGCCATGCACCCACCTGCCATGCGCCCACCTGCCATGCACCCACCTTCCCTGCACCCACCTGGCCCTGAATGCGGTCCTGTGAGAGCGCCCCCACGCCCAGGCTGCCAGACCTTCCCAGCCCCTCCCGCACCATCCGTGACAGCCGCAGCGGGTGCGAACTGGGGGGGCAAAGAGGGAGGAGTGGGGGGACAGAGGGGCAGAGCGAGGCGTGCAAGGGGGGGGGTGTGGGGAGCGGGGGAAAGGGAGGCGCAGGGGGGACGCGGGGATACGTGGGGTGCGCGTGGGAATCACAGGGATGGAAAAGGGAATGGGGATGGGGATGGGGATGGGGACAACACGTGCGAGACAGTAAGTGAGGATGAAAGGACGGGTAAGAAGTGTGGTGGGGAGGAAGGAAAGGAGAGGAGGGAATGGGAGGGGAGGGGAGAGAAGGGGAGGGAAGGGGAAGTGAGCAGGGGGAGGAGGCCATGGGAGCGCGCAGGGGGTGAGGGGGCGTGCCTTGGCAGGAGGTTGTCTAGGGTGGTCATCTCAAGATGCAACGTGCTCGTTGCTGCTACCATTTCCTCCAAATACCTGCCGTACCATGCCATGCCATGCCATGCCGTGCCATGCCATGCCATACAATGCCATGCCATGCCAAGGAGGAGGGGGTGGAGGATGGGAATCTTCTTTTGAATGCGTATAAGGGGCACGCTTCTGAAACGTGTCAGAATTCACAAGGGTTGGTGGCTAGGAGGGATAGCATGAGACTTGAGTAATGCAAGGGGGAATCCTCCCCACCCCAAATCGCACAAGTCGATATAGAGCAGCGAGGTGGACAAACAACGCATCTTCCTTGGGGTGCAACAGTGGCACGCATCGGGGTCTAGCTGTCTCACAACTTGGGAGCAGGGCGAACACAGGTGGCTTCTGAAAATTCTCAGCAACAACTTGGGAGCAGGGCTCACTCTCATGCCCTGAGACTTGGGAGCAAGTTTGTTCAGAAGTTTACTGAGCAGGGCGTGCCACGAACAAACTTCAGAAAAGGCGACGAGAGACAAGAAACACACTCGACACGGGGCGGTGGGAACCTTCCGTGAGAAGGGTGGGAGAAGGGAAGGGGGGGAAGGAGCAGCTCGCAGCGAGCAGCTTGCAGGTGGCAGGTGGCAGGAGGCAGCGCACTTGAGCAGGAAGGCCTCTTCCTTGGGATGGAAGAGCAGTGCGTTGGGCCCGGCACTCTGCGCCTGCAGGTCCGCCAGGCGCTGTGGCAGGCCGTGCAGCCGCACGTCACTGCAGCGCTTGCCCAGCATGCACACTATCCGCGCCAGCACCCCCAGCTCTCGCGCCCGCTCTAGACCTGCGGGGATGCGGGATGAGGGCATGGGACATGAGGGCATGAGGGAATGAGGGAATGAGGGCATGAGGTTATGAGGGAGTGAGGTTATGAGGGAATGGCGAAACGAGGGCGTGAGGAAATAAAGGAACGAGGGAATGAGCCGGGGGGGAAAGGGGGTGAGGGATACACAGTATGGGGCATGTGCACTCCATATGCGATAATACTTCCTGCTCACATGCGCACTCTCGACCTGTGGGGGTGCGTGGAACGAGGGGGGTGCACTTAGTGGGGTCGATGTGGGGAAGGATTGGGGGGAAGAGCAGGGACGGGACAAAGAGGGAGTCTAGAGAGAGCGAACAAGGTGGACAGGAGGAAGGCGGTTGTGCTCAACTGTGAGTCCTAAAAACCGGCGTGCAGTGCAGTGCACCACGGAAGTGAGGGTATGGATGGATACTCTCGGAACGGCAGCTGGTAACGTAACAGTGGGAAGGTTGAGAAACGAGGTGAAGGCGAGTGAGAGAAGAGAGGGGCGGGAGGAAGAGTGGGCTTGGTTGGGTGCAGTGCAGGGGGGTAGGAAAGGTGGGAGGGGAAGTGAGTTATGCGTACCTGCGAGCTTCCATCTCAAGTCATCGTCTCCTGCTATCAGCTTCACCACGCCCTCCGCCTGTGCTCTCACACACATGCACCCGCGCACGCGCGCGCGCACACACACACACGCACACACACACACGCACACACACACACACACACACACGCACACGCACACACACACACACAAACACACACACACACAAACACACACACACACACACACACACACACACACACACATGTGCACACACGCACATACATATACAGGCGCACACATGCACAAGCACGCACACAGATACACGTGCGCACGCATGCATACATACACACGCGCGCGCACATGCACACAAACACGCAGTGAGACACGGCAGTGCAGCAGTGTGCTCGCAGCCCTGCTTGCAAAAGGCAAATCAGGCGCCCGAGCGAACCAGGAGTGAGAGCGAACCAGCCACTACAAACCCCACCATTCATGCAACCACACCCCACTTGCACTCCCTGTTTTATCCATACCTACTCCTCTATCCCCGAACCTCCCCTTACCGCACCCAACCCTACCATCCCCAGCCCCCAACCTAAACTTCCCACCCACACCCCAACTCCCAACCCCCACTGCCCCTCTCCTCTTCCCCACTTCCCCCCTTCCACGTGCCCATGCCCTTTCCCCTGGGCGTACAGCGAGGGTGTGTTTGAGAGGACCCATGTGTTTGATATCCAGCAGCTCCCACAACTCCAATGCGCGCAGCATTGCCGCCGCCACCTCAAACGCCAAAATGCCCATCCCGCCCTCGCTTCCACCTTTCCCCTTCCCCCCTTCCTTCACGCTCCCGCCCCCGCCCCCGCTGCTGCCGCCGCTCTTCCCGCTCGCCTCGTCTCCTCCTGCGTTGCCCCCGTCGTTGCTGCCGCTCCCGGCGCCGTCAGCGTTGCCTGCGGCGTGATTTACGGCGGCAGCCGCGGCCGAGGCAGCGGACGACCAGAATTTTCCGCCCATAGTTGTTCCCCCCTCCGCCTTGCCCGCTCCTCCCCCGCCCCCGAACACTCCCCCGATGTACCCGATTCCCCCCAGCGCCCCCGCGCCCAGTGCGCCCCCCCAACCTCCGCCTAGTCCGCCTCCGCCAATCCCGTTTGCCCACCGGCCGCTGCCGCGCCCCCCGCCGTCCGGCGTTCCGCCAGCGGCACTGCTGGTCCATGCGGAGGCGGAAGAGCTGCGGGCGCGCGCGAGGGTGGCGAGGGAGGCGGAGATGGAGGAGAGCGCGGGGACAGGGGGAACGGAGGCTGCTGCCGCCGCCGCCGCTTGCGCCGCCGCCGCAGCAGCGCCGCTGAGGATGTCGGCTGGGGGGGGGATTAAAGGCGGATGCTGTTGCGCGGACTGCTGCTGCTGCCCGCTCTCGTCGGGCAGCTTTGGGAAAATTTTGTCTGCCATGGAATTGACGATGCTCGCCTGGTTTCCCATCGTGCCGCGTTCTATTCACTCGTCCCACTCACTTCCCCTTTCGTCACCGCTCACTCGCTCCGCGGCGGTGGATTGACGAAAGCGAACGAGTGACGACGAAGCGAAAGATTGACGAACGAGCAACGACGACACAAGGGCGACACCCAAATAGTACAACTGACGCTGTGACTGGTGCTGTGGGTGGTGCAGTGAGTGGTGGCGGTGGTCGCGTGAGTGGTGGCGTGAGTGGCGACGTGTTACTACAGGTGGACTAGGCCTGGATCAACACGAACGTGGACTGCGCATGCCGTGTGAAAAGGCCTACGAACCCCCCATCTCCTAACTCCCTACGATACTGTAACAACGAATGCTCAACAAGGATCCGCAGAATGCGGTCATGTTCTCCGCATCTCCGCTGATCGCGACCTTGTGGGCGGGAGTGCGAGCTACAAGTGCATATGGTACGGAAGAATAATTAGTGAAATAGAGTCGATGAGGTGTGTTGAAGTGAATAGTGAAGGGTGGGATGGGATGAGATGTGCAATGAGGTGGGCAGATGTGTGTGCGCGCACGCAGCGGAGCGCGCTCAAAACTCCGCCAGTGCGCACGTGGTCGTGGGGGAAGTGGTGGTGGTGGTTTCGCCGAGGCAGGGGTCTGACTCTGAGGCACACGCGCGGAAGCGTGGCGGGGATTTGCTGGCGCTCCCAGAACCTGTCAGAGGGTTGGTAGGCTTGGGTGTGGTTCGGCCGCTACCTCGCTGGCGAGGCATCCGTCCTGAAAGGAATTTTTCGGATTCCTTACTGGGTCACACTGTACGCGTACAACCCGAAAACCAGGCTCGGTCCGCCAACCTCGCCTTCCGAGCCACTACCGCGTCCCCTTCGGGTTTCCCAACCCCGAACCTGCACCCAACCATCTCGCGACCCCGCGACCTCGGCCTAGCAAGCTTCGCTATATTAGTCCTAGGCCTCGCTGTGTTCTCAGACGTTGTAATCACTTCCGCATTATTGAGTTCTGCGCACTCTTCCTTTCACAACTCATAACTGAGAAGAATTGAACGAGAATGAAATGAGTATGAACGAAGTGAGTACAAATAGGAAACCCTAATTGGGTTGTACCCCCTATGGGATACCCCACTATAGCCTACACAAATAAGTAAGCTATATGTTCTGACACACCCCCATAGGCAAAGTGGGGGAGAACAAGGGGTCACAAGACCAGTCAAGCAAAGCAAAGCAAAGCTCAGGGTGGATCACAAAGTCACCACGCATTCCGAGCACAAGTTCAAAGGCCAGAAGGCCAGTTCACATGCAAGATCATATATAGAGGTATACAAGAGTCAAGTAAGCAAGAGCAAGGGTATATATATGCGAAGGTACAAGCAAGGTCAAGAGGAGAGCAAGTGAGGCAAGACAGGCACTAGACCCAACTGCGTGCAGCAACGCTGATGATCACAAGGCGCAAGTGCCTTGGTGAAGACATCAGCAGTGTTGGCCTCAGAGGCCACGTACGCAAGTCGCAACTGTCCACGCTGCTGTAGCTCACGAGCAAGAAAGTAGCGGAGAGCAATGTGCTTCATTCTGTGCTCCAGTCGCTGCTCTCGACACAAGGCCAGCATGGCCTTGTTGTCTACGTACAGGACTGGAGGAGAACGAGGCTGCTCTCCAAGGTCGGTCAGCAGGTAGGTGAGCCAGCGTAACTCCTGTGCAGCCATAGCCCCAGCGTAGATCTCAGCCTCACAACTGGAGCCGAGAACAGAAGACGAGCGGGTAGCCCGCCACGAGACAGAGCCGGAACCAAGGCTGAAGGTGTAACCCTGTGACGACCGCTGCGTAGCCTGGTCGTCAGCCCAAGAAGCGTCTGCGTGCCCAGTGAGGACCACTGGACTGCGCCCTCCAAGCACTAGCCCCATGCCCGACGTACTGCACAAGTAGCGCAACACCCTCTTCGCTGCAGCCATGTGCTCTGGTCGGTGTCTCCCAGGAGCAACAAAGCGTGCGAGAATGCTAAGAGGGTATGCGAGGTCAGGTCGTGTGCAGGTCATCAGGTACATGAGGCAGCCAACAAGCTCTGCAAACGGGCCACTCGACTCTACGGACTCATCCGAAGGCAGAGCTGAGAGCGAGTGGCGAGTAGGCAGAGGAGTGGCCTGAGGCGAGGAGTACGTGAAGCCGAAGCGCTGAAGGACCTGCTGCACCATGTGTGACTGAGTCAGGGTAATGGTGCGGCGTGCTCTGTCCCGGGTGATCTGCAAGCCAAGGTAGCTGCGCAGTTCACCCAGGTCAGTGCACGTGTGTCTCTTCTACAGCTCGGACTTCACGTAGGCGAGTCCAGCAGTGTCAGCTGTGGCAAAGACCAAGTCGTCGACGTACACGAGGATGTAGAACGGCGGCAGAGAGGTGTCGGTGCGCAGAAACAGCGACGGGTCGGCAGTAGAAGGAGCAAACCCAAGTGCCGCGAGTGTAGTCCTCAGTGTGTCGTGCCACTCACGTGGCGCCTGGCGGAGACCATAGACTGGACGCCGGAGACTCCACTGGGTACCAGGAGGGAAAGACCCAGTGAAGCCAGGTGGGCGACGCAGCCAGATCTCCTCGTGCAGGCTGCCCTGCAAGAAAGCTGTGCTGAAGTCGAGAGAGTGCAGCTCGTAGTCACGGTGAGCAGCAACGTGCAGCAGAACCCGAAGAGTGGTCATCTTCGGGGTGGGGGAGAAGGTCTGAAAGTAGTCAACCCCCTGCCGCTGACTGAAGCCACGAGCCACGTAACGCGCCTTGAAGACAGGCGGAGAGCCCGGCGGCCGCTTCACCCTGAAAATCCACATGCCACTGACGATGTTCGCCCCAGGAGGGGGGACAGCGTCAACGTAGGTGCCTGTGGACTTCCAGGAAGCCATCTCTGCATCCATAGCTGCCTGCCACTGAGAGGAGTAGGGACCCTCTATCGCCTCCGCGTAAGAGCGCGGAGTCGGGATGTCTGGTGCATCCGGGTCTCCCTCAGGGGCTAGTAGTACAGACGCGAGACGAGGTGAAGCGGCGGCCAGACACTGGAACTCCTCCTGCCTGTCCTCAAGGTCGTCCGTGCCAAGGGCACACTCACCCCCGACGGACGGAGGACAGGCAGACTCAGACTCAGTGACAAGACGAGCAGCGTAGTCTAGACGACAGCGCGCAGCAAAGTCGACAAGCTCAGTGACAAGGGCAGACGCAGCAGACGACTCGAAGGAAGGGTCAGTGACAGCAGTAGCAAGGAGACGCGTGACAGTAGGACTGGCAGCACGAAGAGAGTCCGACTCCGGGTCGGCAAGAGCAGGAAGAGAGGAAGCAGGAGGAGAAGGTAAAGGGGCACGCAGAGGAGCAGTGGACGGACGCAGTGACATCCGGTGCGTGCCAGGGACAGGAGGAGGACGCTGACGCAACCCGCGACCACTAGTGCGCTCAGTACGAACAGGCGACACGGGACGAGACGCAGGCTCACGACGCTCAGTAAGACCTCCAGTCGGACCAGCGTAGGGAGAAGGAGCAGGCAAAGGGGAGGCAGGCTGTAGCTGTGGCTGTGACCGGACAGGCTGCGGACCCTCTAAGGGAGGAGGAGGAGGTGTAAGACCAAGAACCTGCTGCAGGAGCGGAACGAAGTACGGTCGGGGCCGCGCGGCGACGCTAGAAACAGCAGGAACAGCACCAGCAGCCCCGGCAGGAGCACCCACTCCAGCAGCACCTCCAGCAGCACCAGAACCTCCAGCAGCAGCACCAGTAGCACTGTCAGTCGGACCGCCAACGGCAGGCTCAGCTCCAACACCCTCAGCAGTACCAGCTCCAGGAGAACTCTCAGACCCAGCAGCTCCAGCACCCACAGTACGAGCACCGGCGGGACGCGCGGCAGCAGTACCCTCTGCAGCCGAAGAACCACCAGCACCAGCAGCACGCCTCCAGCGCCTAGCAAACCACTCACGCAGCTCCTGTGGGGAGAGTGGCTCCCGGCGAGACGAAGCACCCCCAGGCACAGCACCCCCAGGCACAGCACCCCCAGGCTCGGCACCCCCAGGCACAGCACCCCCAGGCTCGGCACCTCCAGGCTCAGCACCCCCAGGCACAGCACCCCTAGGCACAGCACCCCCAGGCTCAGCACCCCCAGACTCCGCACCCCCAGGCTCAGCTCCCGCAGCAGCACCAGAGTCACCAGTGACCTCGACAGGCTCGACCGCGTCTACCTGGGACACACTTGAAGGGGCAGGACCCTGAGGGGGGAGGGGGACTACCGGGGGGGGACCTGGTACCAAGAAGAGCGGGGGTGGGGGGAGGGACGGAGTGCGGTAGGGGAAGAGGCGGTAGTAGGGTACCGACTCGTTGAACGTGACGTCCTGGGAGGACAGAACACGTCGAGAGGTGGGGTGGTAAAACTGCCACCCAGGGGCGTCGGGGGGGAACCCCAGGAAGACGCAGGGAGAAGCACGAGGGGACAGCTTGTCCGCAGACAGGTCGCGAACAAACGCCCGAGATCCCCAGACCCGGAACGCCGACGCATCGCCAACCTTCCCGGTCCACAGCAGGGCTGGGGAGGTCTCCGGTCGAGAGACCCTGGGGTGGAGGTTGATCTGGTGCGCAGCGTACCTGACCGCAAACGGCCACAGAAAATGGGGAGCAGCCGCATGCATCATGGACGTACGAGCGACGTCCATGACCATGCCAATGCGGCGCTCAGCAATCCCATTTTGCTGTGGTGAGTCCGGAAGCGTGAAGGTCTGACGGATGCCTCGCGCACGACAGTAGGCACTGAGGAGGCCAGAGGAGAACTCTCCGCCTCTGTCCGAGTGCAGACGCAAAACAGGGAAGTCAGAGCCAAAGCTCCTCCGAAGCTGGAGACGAGCTGCGCGGATCCAGTCGATCAACACCTCAGTGACCTCACCCTTGCTGCGCAAGGGGAAGACTGTGGTGTAACGCGAGTAGTCGTCAACCACCAGCAGGAAGTAGCGCTCCTGACCCTGTCCACGGACGCGG